GCCCAAAAGCGAGCACCCGCCGGTGAGCGCCCCAGCCTGCTCGCTGCAGCAGCGGGACATCAAACGCAGCGTGCCACGGAGGGTGTTCACACGAGGCCTCCCTGCCCCGGCGCACCCCGGTACCTGCAGCTGGCTCATCTTCTCCAGCGAGGAGCCCCCGGAGAAGTGCTCCACGTCCGTGAGCCGCAGGTCCAGCTCCATCAGCCACACCTGGATGGCCTCCCGCTCCCACTCGAACTCCTCCCGCTGGCTCACGACATACTGAGGGGTTGGGGGGGGGGACAAACAGGAGAAAACAAAACCGGGGGGGGGCATTGGGTTCACTGGCAATTGGGCCCGGTACCACAGACCTGCTGCACATCTCACCGGCCCCCCAGCCATTTACAATGACGGGGGAGGTTGGGTTTTTATCATCGTTTAGTGCCATCGTTTTCTATAGCAGGGCCAAATCCTTTGTGACGGGAAAACGGGGTCGCTCCGTCAGGGCCTGTATCTGCTGGGGATCCGGTTTGTCTAGCTCGGCCCCTCTCCCAGGACAGAGCCCCGACTCCCCGCCAGGCAGGGCCGGGCCGAGCCGAGCCGAGCCGAGCCGCCCCTACCTTCAGCCTCTTGCAGACGGCCGCCGCCCGCGTCTGGAGGTCGTCCCAGCGCTGGTTGCTGTCCTGGACGGCGGCTCGGAGCCGGCCCTGCCAGCCGGCCTCGTCGGCCTGCCCCAGCTGGCGGTACAGCCAGTTCAGTGACTCCAGGTGCATCAGCTTGTCCTGGATCTGAAGCTGGAGCCCCTGGGGGGGCAAAAAGAAAAGGAGACTCACAAAGGAGGACGCGGGAGGTCTGAGCTCGATCCCACCGATTGGGACGATCGCCTGCCTCAGTTTCCCCATCTGTTAAACTGGAGGGGGTGGGGGTTCTTCCCTGCTTTGCAGAGGGAGGCGAGCGGAGACACCGGCTGCGGGGCTCCTGGGGCCTGGGGTGCCGGCAGGAGACATGACGGAGGTGTGTGGGCAGCGTGTTTCGCCTGACTCGCTTCATCCGCCCAGCCCGAGAGCAGAGGAGTGGTCTCAGCGCCTCAGACTCTCAGGATCCGGGGTGCCCTCTGCCACCCAAACGGTAATGCAGCCTCGGTCCGCTCCCTCCCCCCGGTATAGACATTAGCACCGTCTCCAAAACATGGGGAGTCCCACTGTCGCTGCACGTGGCTGGGTATATTCGAGTCTGCTTACCTCCCCTATCCAAAATCACCTGTGCCGAGCTTCACGCGCAGCAGCGGTGGGCACTCCCCTTCTTGGATCAGGGTCTCATTGCGCTTTATTGCAGGTATTACGGCAGCACTTCGGCTCCGCACCCCACACGTTCCTGGCCTGCGCCAGGCTCGGGCCC